AATCCTTCCTCGGGTCCCCACGTTCCTGCCGTCAGCACTTCCCTGCCTATCCCCAAACCTTGTGTCCAGTGAATGTCCCTCGCTGAGTGCACAGTGCACTGAATGATTTTGCTGGCCCCATCTGTCCCTTTCACCAGTCTGAGGTCAGTGCCTGGCGGGGTAAGGCGCTCAATATAGCCGAGTGAGTGAGGTCATCTGGTGTCCCTTCCCTCTCCCTGCCACACCATCTGAGTTGGTCCCAGACAACTGTCTGCTCTGAAAGAGAAAGTATTGCAGATTCTCACAGCCCTTGTGGGCAGGAAGTGCCTCCATATGTTTACCTCAAATCCTTGCTGCTTAACCCCTCTAGGCCTATCTAGGATACTTTTGCCCAAAGCATCCATCCTTCCTCCTTTATACCTCCTCAGGACTTGTTGGAGGATTGCAAGAGTAAAGCAAGCCAAAGGCATAGGAGAGTACCCAGGGCCCAGGCAGCAAACAGCACTATTCAGTGTTTGCTGTTAGGATGGAGATACACACACACACACACACACACACACACACTTGTGTGCGGTGTGTATGTGTATGTTTACTTTCCTGGCTGGGGGGCAGGTGAAGTCCCAGGCCTGGGGCATCCAGAGGAGAGATTTGTGGGGAGGCCCCGGGACCCATTTGCCCACTGTGACTGCTTGGGCTCCCACTGCATCTTGCACAGTAGCATCTCTTCTCCTAGCCCCACTGCCTGTGGCAGGTCTCCCTCCCAGGGAGCAAGGACTGCTTGAGCACAGAGACTCTGGCTGGCACACAGCAGGTGCCCAATGAATGAACAAACATGATCTCAAACCAGTTGCAGAACCAAATTCCTTGGCCTCCTTCTTCACCCCTATCCCCCTATGATCACATTCCACAGTTCCCCTTTTCCCTTTGTCCCAGGCCAGATCAACCTGCCCCACCTGAATAGCTCGTGCGAAATCTGAAAGATGAATTCTGGAAACAGTTGGCCCAAATATGTCACTCCTACCACTGAGGCAAATGGTTACCAAAGTAGCGCCACCCAAGCCAGAAACCCAGGAGTTTCCTCCATTCTTCTATCCAATAAATACTTGCAGTGTGCTGACATGGCCCTAAGAGTTGGGGATACAGAGAACAAGCAGGCTCAGTCCTTGTTTATGCAAAGCTTGAATTTCAGTAGGAGAGACAGACATAAAACAAATAAGGAAAAAAAAATTGAAATGGTGGTAAATATTTTAGGAAACACACTGGGGGCTGATTAGCTAGGATTAGAAAATCTCTCAGGGAAGGAGACTTTTAAGACAAGGCCCTGAAGGATAAGAGGGAGACAGCTCTATGAAGAGTGGGAGGAGGGATGTCCCAGGCCAAAGGAACAATGTGTACAAAGCCCAGGAAGGAAGAGCAGAGAGAGCTGCGCTTAAACTGGAGAAACTGGGTGGAACCCAGGGGCTGATGGGGGCAGGAACAGGGCCGCTCAAACCCTGCCCGGCCTGAGGGGGGCCCTGCCAAGACTGTTTCATGAAAGGGTAAAGAGGTTTTTCAGTGGGGCTGAGGAAGGTGTTGTGAGCTGCATTTTGAAAGTCCGAGGGTTGTTGTACTGGAAACAGATGTGAGGGGCCCACTGTAGAGAGAGGCAACTGGGCCCTGGCAAAGGTGGGGGCAGTGGAGATGGAGGCAGAAAGATACGATATATGTTTGGGGGACAACATTATCAGGACTTACCAGTGGACTGATGTAGGGGTGAGGAGAGAAGAGACATTAAAGGCGACTTGTGCACCTGGGAGATGCCATTTTTTTTTTTTCTGGGAGGAGAAGATTTGGAGCCAAGGGTCAGAATCAAGGAGGGTGAGGTTAAGGGGAAGGAGTATGGAGAACAGAATCACCCACAATGTGGAGTTTTAAATGTGATGCTAAATTCTTTGATCTTCCTTCCGAAGAGAGGGGGCTTCCCTTAAATCCGTGGGCTTGAGACTATTCTGACCAATAGAGTATGGCAGAAGGGACTTGGGGTGTTGCTCCCCAGGCTGGGTACACAGCTTCCCTCTTGTTCTCCGGGAGCAGCCTCTTTTCATATGCATTTTTTTTTTTTTTTTTTTTTTTTGCACCAGGGATTGAACCCAGGGGCACTTATCCACTGAGCCACACCCTCAGCCCTTGTTTATATTTTATTTAGAGACAGGGTCTCATTGACTTGCTCAGAGCCTCACTAAGTTGCTGAGGCTGCCTTTGAACCTCCTGCCTCACCCTCCTGAGCCACTGGGATTACAGGCGTGCACCTCTGTGCCCCGCTATATATATCCTTGAGATGCTCCCTCTTAGAAGTCTTGGTGCTTTGTCTTCGGACTCAGTTGAGCCCAGCCTTTGGGCTTTTGCAGTGCAGGCATCAGAAACAAGAGTGAAGAGCCTAGTCTTCCCAGCTGAGACTCCAGACACATGGAACAGTCACCAGCCATCTCAGCAGGCTCCCTGTCTGAATTACTAACACATAGAATGCAAAAACATAAGAAAATGGTTATTGTTTTATACCAAGTTTGGAGGGGAGGTTGCTTATACCTCAGTTGTACGTAGAACACAAATCAGAGGAACCACTAATTAACAGGGTTCCTTTTGCTTTTTCTTTTCTATCCACATGTTACTGCTTTGGTTCAGCTCTTATCAACTCTCACTTCCAGCTGTGTTCTCTGTCTTCCATTACTTTGTCCCTCCTGCCCCAGCTAGGATGATTCACTAAGACCCAATGAGGACATATTTCTCTACTTCAAAGGCTTTTTATTGCTCATAGAATAAAATTCAAGCTTCTTATCAGGTTGTGTGTAGGCTCAAACTTTCACTAGTCAAAAGCTCTACATTTGGGCCAGGTATTCCTGCTCCCTGGGAGGGCCAGGCTCGCTACACTTCTGGGCCTTCCTTCCACTCGCTCTAAGAACTGGGTGCTGGCCCTTGCCCATTTGCCCTTGGAAATCTCTTCCCATTTCCTGCACTTGTCTCCATGCCCCACAGGCTGAACTTTTATGGGGTGCAACAGTGGGCTCCCTTGCCCTCTTGCTTTCTGTGGGTTCACCTGATGGGCAGGAAATTGGAGGCAGGAGAGGGGTGGGGGTGGGGTATCTAATGCACATCTCCCTCCCTTCCAGGCCCTGAGACACCACCGCTCCTGTGGCAGGCTCACTCCCTCTCTCTTTGAATTCTGGATATCACTCGTTCCCTTGGACCCTCCAGCATGTGAATGGTTGAGGCAGATCACCCCTTCTAGCCTCAGAGTGTGTCCCAGGACATAACCTTTTGAGTAACTCTTTGATTACTCTGTCCAAATGTTCCATCCATGTCCAGCTGGGACCCTGACTGATAAATTCCATCATCCTCCATGCCTCAGCCCCGCCTCCCCAATCTGTCTAGTCTTTTTTTTTTTTTTTTTTTTTTTTAACCTGCTTCCACCAGGGCCCTGGACAGATGTCCAATCTTAACCGCAAAACTCTAGTTTTTACTGTTGCCTGGTACATCTTGGCAGTAGGAGCTTACCTTTGTAGCTTAGACCCCGGTACCTTGAATGGTACTCGGCACTTTGCAGGTGCTGAGTAAAAATGCTTGTTGGATGATGGTTGGACTCAGAAAAAGGGCTCCGGGAGGGCCACAGGAGCCACAGGCCAGAAAGCTTTCCTTTGAAGCTGGGTGTAATGGGAGGGTGAGATGTGGTTTCAGTAAGGAGAAATCATAGCAAGAACCTTCTTGGGGGCTGGGGTTGTGGCTCAGTGGTAGCGCGCTTGCCTACCATGTGTGAGGCACTGGGTTCAATCTCAGCACTGCATATAAATAAATAAAATAAGGGTCCATTGACAACTTGAAAAAAAAGAACTTCTAGGGAATCCTCAAATTCATAAGGGATAGGTAATTTCTTTAAACGTTCAAAAGCTCTGTTTTATTTCCTCCTAATATTTTCATGCATAAAACTAGACTTTTTTTTCTATTTACTATACACTCTTGGTTCTTTTTCTTTCATTTAAAAAATCAACTTTCTCAGGGCTGGGATTGTGGTTCAGTGGTAGAGCAATCGCTTAGCACGGGTGGGACCGGGGTTCCATCCTCAGCACCACATAAAAATAAAAAAATGCATTGTGTTGTGTCCATCTCCACCAAAAAATAAATATTTTAAAAAATCAACTTTCTCGAGGTCCAGTTTATGTACAGTAAAATTTACCTTTTTGGGGGCATTTAGTTACAGGAACGTTGACAACTCTGTACAGGCATGGGACCACCACAGCACGGAGTTTCCTCATTCCCTGTCTCAGTCCCCGCATTCCACTCCCAGCCTATGGCACCTACAGTTCTCTTTTCTGTGGCCCTTGTTTCTCCTTTTCCAGAATGTCATATAAATGATAATGTTGTACATTTTACTTTATGCCTAGCTTCATTCACTTAGCATAAAGCTTTTGAGATCCAGGCACACTGTTGCTGTGTCGGTGGTTCCTTTTCATTGCTGAGTACTAGTCTCATTATGAATGAACTAATTGGTTTATTCACCAGTTGATGGGAAATTGGTAGTTTCCAGTTTGTGGTAATTATGAATGTAATTGCAGCAGCATCTGCCTATAGTTTTTTAAAAATATTTTTTAGTGTTGATGGACCTTTATTTTATTCATTTATTTATATGTGGTGCTGAGAATTGAACCCAGTGCCTCATGCAAGTGAGGCAAGCACTCTACCACTGAGCCACAACCCCAGCCCCTGCCTATAGGTTTTTAATTAGATCTATGTCTTCATTTTTCCTGGGTAAATACCTAAGTGGCATTATTGATTTTTTTTTTTAAGTACTGGGGATTGAACCCAGGGATGTTTTACCTCTGTGCTACATTCCCTGTCCTTTTTTATATTTTCTTTTGAGACAGGATCTTTGCTAACTTGCCAAGGGCTTCACTAAGTTGCTGAGGCTGGCCTCCAATTTGTGATCTTCCTTCCTCAGCCTCCTGCTTCACTGGGATTACAGGCGTGCAGCATCACACCCAACTCGTGAGTTGCATAATAAATATATATTTAACTTTTTAAGAAACCACCAGACTATTTTCCAAAGAAGTATTTCCATTTTGCATTCCCACCAACAACGTATGAGAGAGTTCCAGTTGCTCCTCATCCTTGTCAGCATTTGATATTGTCAGTGTCCTTTTAAATCATTCCATTCAGTAATGTAGCATTATCTTATGGTTTCTATTTGCATATTCCTAACAACTGTGATTCAGAGTTTTTAATGTCACTCTGACCTGAACTGGGGTTGAGCAATTTGTAGAATGGATTATATATTTTTTAAGGCCCAATAAAAGAACTATTCATTCATTTTCTTGGAGTGATTAGAAAAGCCATTGGATCTGCCAAGAATTTTGTTTCAAACAAGGACAGCACACTGTGGAGGAAAGATAGAGTTACCCTGTGATTGTTCCCTGTCTAGCCTGCTTTTCTGGTGAACCCGCAACACCCCTGCCCCCTCCTCCCCACCTCTCCACCTGCTCCACCCTGCATTCACACCCCAGATGCTGACTTGATGGTACATTCCTTTTTACTGTGGGATTCCAGTTTAAGATAAATGTTACCTCCTTTTGAAGCATCCAGGACCTTCAGAGGCTTCTAGGCACAGCATTTAAGACAATGTTGTGGGAAAAGTGCAGCCTCTTTTGGAGCTGGGCTCTATTTGCTTTTTTTGGATTTATTCCTTATTAGCTCTGTGGCTTTGGGAAAACGACTGAACTGCTTTTAGCCTAGTTTTCCCAAGTGTAAAAGGGGGATGACAGTACCTACCTCAGGAGGTAGATATTTGTTGTTGTTGTTGTTAATAATTTGCCTCTATCGGATGCTTAGGTTGTCCTTGAGTAATTCTGCCCTCATTTCTTCCCAGCTGTTCGCTCTTCAGGGCAGGCTCTGTGCCTCGGGCTGCGTGTGCTCCCGTCCCTGACACGGTGTTGGTAAACACCAGCCGCCCAACACACTTGTTGAATTGAATGGGCCTCAAAGTATTCCAGGGAAGTCAGGTGGCCTGTGAGGGGTCCAGACCCACAGTGACCTCTGGCTCTCATGAAGCCGCGAAGTGTCTTTCCTGGGGCGGTGACACCTTCCAACAGAACCGAGGGCTAAGTCTGCAGCTTGTGCTCGGAGTAACTGCGGGTTTGTCTGGACACGTGGGTTTGACAGGTCAGAGAAAAGGGGACGAAGAGAAATAGTGATCAGAAAAAAAAAGGAAAAAGAATGAGAAAGACGGATTGAAAAGGAGGAAACTGTGGAGAGGGCCGACGGGAATGCGCCCCCAGCTTAGATAGAGAGTGAGGGTCAGGTTGGGGCGGAGGCGGGGGACGAGATTTGGGAGGTTTTCGGGTCCTGGGGACTGAGTGGCGGTGAGGGAGACGGAGCGGGGACAACGCTCGGACGCAGGGGGAAAGGCGCGGAGGTACCACCGGTCCGAGCTGGGCGGGTTCTGGCAGAGCCGGCAGCTGTGTGTAGACCCAGCGGCAGGTGCGAGGGGCGGAGCCAAGGGAGGGCGGGGCTGCGGGGCGGAGCCACGAGGGGCGGGGCCGACGCCAGGCGGCGGGCGGGGTGCGCGGCTCCGCTCCTGCGAGAACAGCAGGGCGGCGGAGCTGGAGCCGGAGCCCGAGCCGGAGCCCGAGTCGAAGCCCGGGCTAGAGTCGGAGCGGGGGTCGGGCCGAAGCGGGCTCCAGCGACATGGGATCCGCAGACTCCAAGCTGAACTTCCGGAAGGCGGTGATCCAGCTCACCACCAAGACGCAGGTGCGCTCCGGGGCCCCAGCCTCCCCATCCACCTGCTGGGCTGGGGGCTGGGCAGGGCCGGGGGCTGCGCGAACTTGGCTCCCGGGGAGATGGGGCGACAGGCTGGTCCAGAGGGTGACGCAGAGGACAGCGTGGGAGCGAGACCCCTTGGCCTGTACCGCAGGGCTCCATCCCCTGGCCCTAGCCCCCCACCTCAGTCTCCTCTCCCGGGAACACCTCTCTTCCCGCAGCTGCTGCTGCCACCTTAGGCTGACGTGTGCCTCTCCCCGAGCCGGCGATGCTGCTGTCTGCCCTCCTCGCCCGCCCCCCAGCGCTCTCAGCCTCGCATCGTCAGCCTATCCCCCCACTCCCACCCACCCATCCGCCGCTCTGCTTCCCTCCCTGCCCTTCGGTGCCCACGGGTCCCGGACGCACAACCCCGGCTGACTCAATGCAAACAAAGCCGGGCCCGCGCCCGCCTTGGGTCGCGAAAACAGCTGGTGCGCGGCAGCAGCGGCCTCGCTGGGCCCCGGTCGATGCCTGCGGCCAGGGAAGGCCCAGGTCTTCCTAGGAACACGCAAAGAGTGGTGGGCAGCGCGGCAGCCTGGCAAGGGGACCCGTCCTCAAGCATACAGAGCCCCAGTTTCACGGCAGTGGACCACTCCGGGGAGTCCTTCTTCAGGCTCTGTGGAGTGGATGGATGTTGCTGGAATCCTATGTTCTCTGTTTTGGGGATGGAGACGGGATTGTCCTTGGTCTGCTGTCAAGGGAGCTGAGGGTACCTTTCAGCCTAGTCAATACTTACACACTCTCCACTGAGTCCACAAGTGGCACAGGGGACCACCTCCTTGTCCCCAAAGCAAACCACCTGGCTTCAGCAAGGCTGCTGCCCTGCCCACCACTTCTCTCCTTGCCCCTTGAATCAGGCCATTCTAGCCAACGAGATGCCTAATCCTGACTCCCTAGGTCCCTCGCTTGCAAAGGCTCTGGATTTATTGCCATTGGGGGGGCACCCCCACCCTGCTATTCTCAGGGCTCTCTCTTGCTCTTGGCAATTAGAGTGGGGTAGAGAAAGCCATCTACTCACAGCGAGTCAATCACAGCCCCAGAGTCTGAACTTCTGCTCCCACACTCTCATCCCTGCGCTGGGAAGGTCAGGCGCTCAGCAAATGCCCAGGACCCATGGCGAGTCTCTAGCCCCAGCTGAGAGGCTCTTGATAAAAACCAGACCTGCTTCTCTCCATCCCCCTGGCTCCTGCCTGGTTCTGAAGCTTTGGGATGGGGCATTAGGTCTGTGACATGTAAGCCTTCCTCTCAGTGTGGGGCTGGGGGGTGGTTCCTGTGTTTACCCTCCTGGTGAGGAGTCACCTTGCTGCATGAATGTGGCTCAGCAGCTGGGTCCTTTGCCAGGCCAGCAGGGCGAGCTCACCAGGTCCCAAAGGATCTGCAGTGGTCTGGATTCCTACCTGTTCAGGTCCCCTCCTCCAAACACAGCCTTCCTCTATCTGTCCCTGGCTATAGCCTTGTGAGATTGTGCTGTTCTGTTTCCCAGCTGAGGACAGTGAGGTTTGGACTAGGACCTGGAGTAGACTGGAGACCAGCTGGGGCCTCCTTTGGGACAGCACTGGGGTTCTGCAGGTGGGAGAGGGTCTGGCTGTCTGGAGGAAGAGACCTCAGTGACCAAAGTCTTGGACCCTGCAGAGTGATCTTTTGGGGGCAGCCTGGGTGTGAGAACAAGCTCCCAAATAGTCAGCCTGGACTTTACTTACTCAGTGTTCCTGAGAGATTCAGTTGTCCACAGGATGATCTCTGATTTCAGGCTCTCAGACGCTGTGCTTTGGGTAGCAGACAAGTGGACCCAGCACCCTTTACTGTGGCCCAGGCCTGAGCTTGCTGCTGCTTGGCCTTCTCTGCCTTCCTGCTCTGCATCCTGTTTTCTTCCTGCTCCATCAGCCAGCCCTGGGCCAGGCCTGACCTTAGACCTGAGGGCCAGCAGCTTTGGCTTTGTTTCTTGATCCTTTCCTAGAGTAGGTAGGTCCCTGGAGGGTGGCGTCTCTCGACTTGAGACTCCCTCCAAGATCCTGCATGTTTGGGGATTCTCTGCTGCAGGCCAGAGGAGACCTAGTGGGGTGGGATGTGCATGTTCACACATGTGCACACAATGTACATATGAATGTTATGGTGACACAGGCTTTCAGGACAGGTCATACTTAGCAGGCTGGAGCACTATTTTCTATTAGTTTCTGCCCCCAACAAGAGACTGTCAAAAGCTATAGCTGGTCCTCTAGGCCTGAATGGGTGTCTGGCCTGATAGGGCACCTGGCAAACCAGATTAGGAATACCTGGTTTCTGGGTAGGGAAGTTCATTCTCTGTGCCCTTAGCATCAGGGGCCAGAGCAAAAATGCTTTTTCCAAAGAAAGCTTCCTGGAGTTGGGTGGAGGCTAGCTGGGATCACTGAGGTAGGAGCTCTCAGAAGCCCAAAGGGCTCCAGTGATCCTGGCTAATGCTGTAGTATCAGCCTGGTAGGGTCAGGAATGGTCACCAAATACCAATGTCTAAACTGCGATGGGACTAGGAGAGGAGGTCGAAGCTGAGGAAATGGGAGGCAGAACCTGTTCCTGAAGAGATCTTTCTTCTGTGTCTAGAAGGGGGCTTCCCTGGGCCTCCCCAGTCCCATCCTAAGTCTCTGCCTTCCTTTTGAATTCAGTTCTCAGATGATGCTTGCCTGATGAGCTAGGTCAGAGGTCATGTCTGCTTGATGTTCAACTGGACTCTTCCCCTTTAAGGGGGTAATGGCTACCTGGGAGGTGGGCAAAATGTCAGAGGTGGCAGCTTCCCAGAGGTGCTCCCAGATGGGGGAGAACCTAGGTTCTGGCCCCACGCCACTCTGGTCCCGGGCCATCTGGACAGGAGTGTCATGTTCCTATACCCCAGTTGCATATCTGAGAGCTGTTGGACTGGGGGCCTGAGGACCAGTGAACCCCAGCTCGAGGGCCCCTCCTTTGGCCTTTGTTCTTCTACCCACAGCTAACTTGCTCTACCAGTTCTGGGACTGAGTAGTGGCTATGTCAGGCCTGTCCTGAGGGCCAGAGCCACAAGTTACCTTATAGGTCCCTCGGGGTGGGGGTCTTTGTTCAGGCAGTGGACTAGGGTCTGTGTCAACCTTGGTGAGGCCTGCAACCCCAGCTCTGAGTTTGGGTAGACTCCCTGGCTGAAGGGGTTGCCAGGCCTGATTACAAATTCAGCTGAAAAAATGCTGTCTGAATACTGGCCCTATGCCTCAACTGCAAGGTCAGAGAAGTAGGGCTGGGGACTAAGGGCTCAAGGCAAGTGTGCCTGGACCCAAGTTGGGAACTGTGAAGAACAGGGGTGGGGGCAGGAGACTTGAAGAGGCTCCAGAGGACAGAATTATTTTTTTATTAAAAAAACTTATCTATATAAATATGTGTGTATATATATATATATATATATATATATATATATATTTATGTATATTAATTCTGATAACAAGAATAATGTGTGTAGAGTTCAGGTAGCCAGGCCATCAGGCTTTATGATCCCTGGGGTTTCTGAGAAGGGGGAAAAAAAAAAAAAAGGTTATGTTGATGGGATCAACCAGGGAAGGCATCTCGGAGGAGATGACCTTCAAAGGAGCCCAAATAGAGAGAGTCCTAGGCTCCCACAGATGAGCATGCAGAAGGAAAAAAGCAGGTGCTCAACCAAAAAATTATAAAACTTCCCAAGAGATTGTTGCCTTAACTAAAATCCTGCTACCTCATCTTCTAACCTTTTATTCATATGCAATTAAACATAAAATTATGATCATCCTATAGATAGTTTGATAACTTGTCTTTTAAAACAAAATGTTGTGCTATATTTTCCAGTAGTTAATATCTTTGAAAATGGCTGCATAACATTCCATTCTATGGATGTGCCTTAGATTTTTAAGTAGTCACCAACGAATGGCTATTTAGTTCCAACTATCTACTGTTTCCAACAATGACTGAAACATTGTTGTAATAACAGTAAATATCTTCATATGTCACATCTCCAATTATGTCCATGGGAGAGATTTCTAAAAGTGAAATTCATTATTCAAATTAGTTGCCTTGGTTGCCTGAGCGACGGTCTGCATGATTCAAGGAGCACGTGAGTCTAAGGCATATTGCTCTGATAGGGCCTGGGGGACTTTGGAGCAGTGTTGAAATGGGGGAAGTGTGCTAAGGAAAGGGACGCCTGGGTGATGGAAAAGACAAGAGCTATCAGGGTTATGTCCTAGGGTAACAGACACAGATGCAAGTGTGTGTGTGTTTGTGTAAATCTGTTTGCACGCATTATGTGTGTGCAAGCATGTGTAAGGCAGGTCTTGGCTGACTTTGGGCCAAGGTTTGGACTTGGTCCAGTGGGCATCAGGGAGCCCCCATAGGTCTCTGTGCTTTATTTAGCACATGGGTTGGGGACAGTGTCGAGACAGGATTGAAGGAGGTAAATTTGGAGGCAGGAGCCCTGGAGAGAGAACTGAACTGAGCGGGGGCACATGTGTGGGGTCATCAGTCCTAGATTTGGCACCTGGGGGGGCATGCTGAGAGAGAGGAGGCTGAGGGGGAGAGGAAATGGAGCACATGTCCCCACTGTCATGTTTCCATGGGTCTAGGACCTAGTGGTATGGCTGGGGATTGTGTCAGCTGGCCAGGACAGCATTCCCTGCCAGAGGAGGATGGGGACACAGGCAGGACACGCAGCCTGCTGGATGCAGTGGCCAGTTGATCCCTGGAGTGCACATTCTAAGCCTGGCTGTGCTGGCCAGGGCTGTGGTAGCTGATCCACGTCCATCAACCATTTGGGGAGACTCCCGGGCAACAGTTGGGATGGAGTAGGGGG